CTTGGAGTAAAAGTTTGCGTAAACTCTGGAAACAGCAGCTGGGCGGTGCCTTCCAAAACAATTCAGTCTTTACAAAAGAGAAGGAAGAATTTAAATACGTGAGATACACCTGGTAGTGGAGTTTTGGGAATAAAGGTCCTCTGAGTATCTTCTGTTGTGTGTTCACGTCCCCGTGCTTGTACAGTATCCTACAGGGAAACCTCAGAGAGGGTGGGAGGGGGCTTCTGTTAATTTGGGTTGATGGGGTAGAGAGTGAAGGAGCATCGACATGTCAGCACCGCCGTTGTTAGAGAAATGGCTTCTCACCGTGGCAACGTTAGAAAACCAGCACTGGAAAAATTAGCATCTTAACAGGACCTCAGCTCCACCTGCAGGGAATGACGAACCAAAAACTTGGGGGTGAAACCTAACGGCCATCCAGTCTGATGGACACCTAAAGAGAGAGGATCTCCTCTGTATCTACAGAGCGTTTTTTTCTTCCTTTTTTTTGTTAAGATGGACATTTTTGCGGCGCCGTCATGCACACAGGTTGGAAAACGTGGCAACCAGACGTCGACCCCGCGTCAGCAGCTCCGGCTCGTCCCTCCCAGCTTCCTCACAACGGCCAGGGTAGGTCGCTGAAGTCGACGGGCCCCCCGAGGCCAGCGTCCGCCTCCAGCAGGGACATAATGACAGCCATGGCGGCCTCGTCGTTGCTGGGGCTGCTGGAACCGGGCTCGTCCATGATGTCTATGCTCAGGTGGGAGTTGTCACCTTTAGAGAGAGCAACTTGTTAAGAAGATGACTGATGAAGAGGAGATAATCATAAAACGACAGATTTACTCAGTGACTTACTCATGATGGACTGGTTGGAGTAGGGGTAGCCAACAGAGTCGGGTCCAGGAAGCATCCCCGTGCTGGGCAGCTCGGGCGTCCCTCCGTTCTGAATCTGCAGAGATGACACGAGTAAACATCAGTTTAATGTAAAAACATTGAACTTATTCACTGACGCTGAGGTTCGCGGAAGCATGAACTTGTATACACATGTTAAACTGGTACAAGCAGCATTTTTATCATTATTAAAACAGGAAGCTGATGGCACGCGAGTAAAATTCTAATAAACCTGAAACTTGTTATGAGAGAAGACTCGGACTAGTTTCTTTCACCAAGCATACCTGAAAGCAATGTTCCTCCTTCAAAATAAACCTCAGCTGCTGCTTTAGCAGCCCAGCTGATGGGTTATTCCTCTCTGTGCCTTTCAAAATAAAAGCCCTTAAGCCTACTGTGACCTGTTTACAACCCTGAACGATTAAAATCAAGTTCTTTTTCATTTTGCTCTTCTGGGTTTGCTTTAGGGGCATTTTTTTCAGGTTTTAGACAGACCCATGAAGTTCCTGCACTATAAATACTAAGATTAGACCAGACGAGTTTGGTGTTTCAACAATGAAATTATGTCTAAAGTAGAGACGAGGACAGTTATTCTGTTAGGGTAGTGCAGGAGCTGGAGCAGTGGTGTCAAACATGAAGCCTGAGGCCCAGAGTTGGCCTCTGAAAGACTCCAGCCCACTGGATGGCTCTAAAAAATGTGAAGGAGTGCATAGATTTGAAGTTTTAACTGTTTTTCATAAGTTTTACAACTTCTCCTAATGATAGAGAACCCTGATTAATTGCCATTCACACAGCAAAGTAATTAGGTAATAGATAAACACTTAAATGACATAAAGTTCCTGGTTTTTC